CACTTAGAGAGGTCAAGGTCGAGAGCTTCAAATCTTTTTGTAAGATATTCCAGGAAACAGGAGCGGAGTAGGAGAAGGCCCTTTTGCCTAGTTCAGTCCTCACTGAGGGAACACTGCAGGTAATAATGTCCTGAGAGCGCACTCCGTAGCTGCACTCACGCAGAGACATGTAGGAGGAGATGTATGAAGGCAGCAGACCAAGAAGTGATTTAAAGATGAAAATGTACCAGTGAGAGAGTCTGCGTGAAGTTAATGATGTCCAGTTAACCAATGAATACAGGGTGCAGTGGTGGGTACGATAATCACAGCCAGTTATGAATCTTAGTGCACCATGATAGACAGCATCCAACATCTGCAGGGTTCTTGTAGGAGCGTTCATGTAAATAATATCACCAAAATCAATTGAGGGAAGGAAAGTCACAGATACAAGGTGTTTTCTAGCATTCAGGGTTAGACAGGATCTGTTTCTGAAAAAGAAACCCAGTTTAATTTTCAGTTTCTTTACCAAGTTTTCCACATGGAGCTTAAAAGAAAGATGTGAGTCGACCAAGATACCCAAATATTTATAGGAATCAACAAACTCAATGGGGACACCATTTGAGGATAAAATCGGAGGAAGAACTGCTGGGACCAACTTCCTATTTGAAAAAAGCATCCCTTTGGTTTGGTCGGCATTTAGGACAAGTTTGAGGTGAAACAAATCAGTCTGGATGTAGTTAAATGCAGATTTCAGAAGCTGGAAAGCCTTAGCAACTGTTTTAGCTCGACAATAAACAACTGTGTCATCAGCATAGAAATGTATGGATGCATTAGGGATGTTTTTACCTACATTATGTATGTAGATTGTAAAGAGGGTGGGTCCTAAGACTGAGCCTTGTGGTACACCATTGTTGACTGTTAAATAACTGGAGGAAGTACCATTATGTTGAACACATTGCCTCCGGTCTGAAAGATAGTTAGAGAACCAACCAATGGTGTGATCTGAGAAACCGATTTCTGAGAGTTTATGACACAAGATGTTATGATCCACAGTGTCAAAAGCTTTAGACAGGTCTAAGAAAAGTGCAGCACAATAATCCTTAGCATCCAGTGCTTCAACAACGTCATTAAGAACCTTCAGTGAAGCAGTGGTTGTGCTGTGTTGTTTCCTGAAACCAGATTGATGTGGAGGTAAGATGTTAAATGAGTCCAGGTAATTTTTGATTTGAGAGTTTATCAGTTTTTCTAGAACCTTGGCTAAAATGCAGAGTTTAGAGATTGGTCGATAGTTGTTCAGTGAGGTGGGGTCACCTCCCTTCAGCAAAGGAAGAACAAAGGCTGTTTTCCAAGTGTCTGGGATGGAGTTTTGTCTTATGGAGAGATTGAAGATGTGGGTCACAGGGACTGTGATGATATGAGCAGCCAGCCTTAAGAAATAAGGTGGAAGTTCATCTGGACCTGCAGATTTTTTAGGATCAAGATCTTTTAACAGTTTATTGACCTCACTGACTGAGAATGGAGAAAAAGAGAAGGTGTGATTAACTGAGGATTGACTTGTAGGAGGGATTTGATTTGTAGAAGTTTGGTTATTAAGTGAAGTGGCTGATTTTCCATTAGTTACTGTGTCAAATAAAGAACCAGAAGCAACAAAATGTTTGTTGAGACAGTTCAGGATCTCGTGCTTATTTGACACAGGAGCAGAGTTAACGAGAAGTTGTGATGGGAGGTCAGATGATTGGGGGGTGCCTGAGAGAGATTTAATTGTTTTCCAGAATCTGTTAGGGTCATTTAGATTTTTGGAAGTCTGAGATAAGAAATAGTTTCGTTTTGCTGCTTTGACAGCAGTTGTACATTTATTCCTCATCTGTCGAAAACTCAACCAATCAGTGTCTATATATATATATTTGTGTATTTGTGTATTTGTGTGTGTAAAGAATCACATTATTTTATCAAAGACAATGACCAAAACATGATTTAGTTACTCATGTTTTGGTCATTGTCTTTGATAAAATAATGTGATTCTTTGCAACAACAGTTCCAACCAACATTGCTCCATGTACAGTGTTTAATAAAATTATTAAATGAATGTTTGCAAGAAGAAGCCACAAACCTTGTTTAATTGTTACACAACAGAAGCTTTAATTTGAGCATTTCCTCCACATACATTACCAGATGTGTAAAATATACAAACAGATGCAATTTAAATGTAAAAGATGTACATATGCAGATTACTGAAGACAAGCTGTTTAAACAAGTTTTGACAGAATTCTTCACAACATCAATTCTTTCATTAATAGATTAAAAAAAAAGACAAGATATAAGGAAAGCTTTCCAACACAGCTGCTTGCAGTAATGAATGTTCATCCAAGAAGTGTGACTTGAAGGAGCAGGGAGGCTCTAGACTGGTTTGTCTCCTTTTACATCAAGACGACCCTGATAATTTGATATTAGGCAGCAGCAGATGACCCACAGCTGATAGACTGAACCTCCTGATTGACTGATACTCCTTCACCCTTCACATGGCCCTCTCTGCTAAAATCCTCAGATGAGCCTGGGTCTTCAGGGTGTCCTCTTTGCTGAGTTACTGCTGCTGAGAAAGATGGACACAAGACGAAAGCAAAAAGGCAAATTATTAATCACATCAGAACATAGAAATGGTTTGACATATAGTTTTTAATTCAATATTTAAAATGTTATTCTAAACAACAGTGTTGGAAGATGCCAGAGATTTTACATTAATAGATAAAGTAAACATTTTAATGTTACAGCACTGACAGGCAGCAGCAGTGTAGAGTTTAGCTACCTGTTAGCTGCTAGCTAGCTTACTTTACAATCGGAGGCTGTTTCCTTACACAGTTACAGAATGGTAAATTGATAATGATGGATAACGTTACCACAGCTAACTAACACATAAATACTGTTTTTATTAACGTTAATATAGAAAGTAAACCTTTAAACGTTAGAGCACTGACAGCCCGTGTTGTATATTTTAGCTACTGTGGCTAAAGTTGCTGCTGTGATGGATAACATTACCACGGCTGACAAACACATAAATACAGTTTTTATTAACCTTACCTTGCGCTATACCTTGTAATATAATCTCTGTAAATAAAAGTTGAAGGAATGAAATTCCATGAAGTTTCCAGACAGGTCTCCCGAGTGAGAATAGACCTGGAAGTACTGATCCACAGCATTGGGTCAGAACGGAAGTTGTCTGACATCATTGTGAAAAGGGCCTACTGAGGAGATGCCAAGGCTGATGTGGTGAGGGGCAGCCCAGCCGGAGGTCAGGTGCTGAACCTGTTGATGAACAAGTTTGGGTCATTGGATCTTTCTAGACGGTCCTCCTATGCGGCTGATGGTCGTTATGGTTGAAGTTGTGTTTCTGCATCATTCCTCTTTCAGTTCTTCATCCTTGACCACACCTTGTTGTTATTGTCGCCAGCTTTTCTGTATAGGCCTCATTGCACCTCCTCAACCCCACCTGTAGCTCTCCTTGTATTTGTTCTAGTCTGTTGAGTGAGTGGATGAGATGTTTCCTTCACCCCACAGAGACAGACGAGGACTGCTGCAGCAGGGAGCTGATCAAGGACAAACAGTCCATGGGACAGGATGAGCTGGATCATCTGAACAGGTGTTGCTCTAACCAACATCATCTGACGACATGTAGCTTCTGATCCCTGCAGTTTGTAAATCTAAGCGTGGATCTGTGTTAGGTTTGTGGAGCTTTTTAAATCGGCTCGATATGAAGAAGCTGCGCTGCATGCAGCCAGAGCTCCTGGAGGAGTTTTGAGAAGTTCTGTCACCATGGAGATGTTTAAAGGTGGACATCTCTCTCTCTCTATCACACACACACACACACACCTACAACAAAATCTGTGGATAACTGTCAGCTACAAAAAATACCTAATAACCATAAAAACACACAAAACAAGAAGAAAACTTTATTTTAAACAAAGTTAGAAATGTTTCATGCTTCTGTTTTCTGGTTCCTCACGGTGTTCTTCGGGTTCCTCTCAGGTGTGGACGGCCCCCCATGGTCAGCCCCCCCTGCCCTCCTGTTCTTTCAGGCCCTGCTGGTTACCGTGGGGACAGGTAACCGTCTTCCAGCTGAGGTGTCTCTGCAGGGAGTCTCCTGTTCGCTGAAACATGGAGACATGCAGCTTGTCACTCACGCTGTCACCCAGAACAAGTAACAACTTTTATTTTAAAGCCTCTTACAGATGATAAAGTTAGAATAACATCTGAAAACATCACGATCATCAGAACTGTTTGAAACGTGTGGCTTTTCTACGTCTGAGTTGAGTTTAAGGAGATCTTTTTCCAGACTGTTATACAGCTCCTGATCTTTCCTCTCAGACTGATGTTCTCTGAGGACCTGGGTGACGTTCTTACTGAGCATGCTCAGAAGAATCCCTTCATGGCTGACCTGTCTCTGGCACTCGCCACCTTTGTCTACGAGTCCTGCAGAGTGTACAGGAAGTCAGCACTGAGCATGTGCAGGAGAGGTTTCATCCACAGTGCTGCAGAGTTCATGAAGCTCAACCTGACAGCAGGTTGGTGCATACCGGTGATTTATTTTATTTATTATTTTTAGGAGTAGTTTCACTTTTCAATTGTTGTAGTGTGGATTTTTCTGCAGGTTGTCAACTTTTTGGGTTTAATAGGTAAGGGGATGGATTTATCATCAACTTATGACTGTTTTAAAAACATTAAAATGTTGTTTTGAACCTGGTGTTTCTTAAAACCATGTTGATATCTGAACCTGTTGTAAAACTACCCAACAGAACCTACAAACTATTGAACTGAGCAGTTTAATAAGCAGAAGACTAGAAGTTTTCTTCATTCAAGCCTTTAACTCGAAAACTAACAGAACGGCTCAGATTTCAGTGGTTTAGTTCGTAGAAATATTTGAACACACCTGAGTCAGGTGACCACCAGCAGCATCAGAGTCCTCAGGAACTCTTTACATGTTTGTCTGCTCCTCTGCCTCAGGTGAGTGCATGTGGGTCATCTGTCACTCAGGCAGCCTCTCCCTCCTCCAGCTGCTGACAGATGCTCCACAGGGCCAGGCTGCCATGTTGTCTGTGGGCGTGGCCTGTTCTTCTCTGCTGGCAGACCCTCAGCAGCATCAGTTGGCGCTGCAGCTCCTGAATGGCTTCATGAGTCGAGGGCAAGGTGAGGAGATGCTGCTTGGTTGGTGCAGAGGGAATGTTTCACATGCAGGCTGCAGAATCAGACATTCATAGAATTCCTAGTTGTTCCTGCAGCTCGCTGATCTCTCCGGGTCAGTACATGCAAAAAACAGGTCAGAGAATGGTGTTGTGCTCGAGTAGTTTAAAAATTTTAAATAAATAAAAATAATAGGAAAAAGAAAAACAATACAATTATAAATAAATAAAAAAAATTCCGACCACCGAGCGAAAACAAGCGTTTGACTGAAAACAAAGCCTCATTTCCAGCTGCTGGATCTGAATGGTCCGGTGGACTGGAGAGTCTTCACAAAACTCAGGACTGAAAAAAATAGCTCAATATCATTTTGGGGGTATTAATGGAGGAAAAGGCTTTTTTTTTTCTTTTCTAAAAATGTATAGTACATTTTTTTATTGATTTTAAAAGAAAACGAAACATGGAGGTTTTTTTTTTTTTTACTTAAAGACTCTTTAACAGTTAAGATGAAAAATAATTTGTTTCTTTTTTAATTCAGGCTGAAAACTACAGATTGTCTAGTTTCTTGTGGAAAGAACTATTAAAAATTATTATTTTTATGCAATGGTGGCACAGTGGGGCAGTTGGTAGAGCTGACGCCTCTCAGCGAGAAGGTCGTCGGTTCAAATCCCGGCCAGAGGCCTTTCTGGGTGGAGTTTGCATGTTTTCTCCAGGTACTCTGGTTTCCTCCCACCAAACAAAAACTTTCATGTTAGTCTGATTGGTAACTCTAAATTGTTCCTAGGTGTGAACGAGAGAGTGAATGGTTGTTTGTCTCTATTTGTCCCTGTGATGGACTGGAGACATGTCCAGGATGTCCCCCACCTCTCACACAGCGATAGCTCTTCATGGGCACCAGCGACCCCAACAGGAAGAAGCGGGTAAAGATGTTGGATGGATTTTTAAGCTGTGCAATAAGGTGGTGGACTTGCTTTAAGGAAAACTGTCATAAAGTTAAAGGTCATTTCGAGGGTTAATCCAGGGGTTAGGTGTTGTTTCCATTGTTTGAGTTCCACTTCCTAAAGACTGACCACAGTGGACCCATCTTCATGAACATGAGCTCAGGGAATGTGCAGTCCAGTGTAGTGAGGAATGATCACTCCTTGAAAATTACAGCAGCTATGAAAACAGGCTGCACAACACAGAAGATTAGATTAGATGTTGCTGTCATTTCACGTCACGGGTCTGTTGGATAAATATATCCTCTATTTATCTTAACTGCTCCCTGGGCACTTACATAGCTGCCCACTGCTCCACCTGGGTGTATCTCAGGTGTGATGGGTTAAATGCACAGAACTAATTTTGTCATTGTATGGGAACATACAATGATGACGATGTCAGACTTCCCCTTGCCTTACTTACTCAAAGGAGCCACACTCAACAACAGGAGAAGATTTTTAACTGGTTTTACTTGCAAGGTCAGATTACAGGTTACACAGATATTCAGGAAGTGCACACATGAAGGCCAGTCACAAGAATCTGCCACGGGCAGTGTGTGAGGCTTGTTTTTATACGCTTATCAGCTCCCAGCTCACAGACAGACTTGGAGGCGACCTTGGACTGCCAGCTGCACCTGCAGTCTCAATCCAGCTCCTCGTCCAGCTCTCTCTGCTAACTCCAACACATGGTTCATGGGCAGTTAACATTCTCAGCCATAGCAGCTAAAAACATCCATAAAACCTTGACTATAAAATCTTTTAACAAGATCCAAGGCAACAAAAGGCAGATTACATCTCACCAGAAATACACAACATTAAACAAGCAGATATGATAAATGTACACATATCTGTACAAAAACCTCTGTTTCTACAGATTTGATCAGGTTTAGATAGCTCAGACTAACAGCTGAAGATATTTACAGAATACAAATATAACAGCTGATAGGAAGGAGAGTATTTAATGGTACACTGAAGCCAAAGGCACTGGAGACATGTTCAGTTCAGGGGGGTTGTTGAGTGAGGGAGTGGGGCGGCCCAGAAAGTAGTTCCTGAATGTTGTGGTTCTGGTCCACAGGCTCTGTAGCACCTCCCACAGGACAGGAGGGTAAGCGGTCTGTGTGCTGGGTGGCAGGAGTCATTTCTTACGTTTACTGCTTGGAACCAGCTCATCCGGCCAAGACTCCACAGTTCATGTCCACCTCAAGACACGGAACAGTCTTTAGAGGACAGTAGTATTTGAAAGGAGAGAACGAAGAATCTACTTTAACGTGAAAAAACAACTTTAAAGCGAGGAGAAGGTGGCCCTAGGCATCATCATACTAACCTTGACTCGTCCCTCAGGCAGTTTCACAACCATGCACACCTTGAAGCATGTGATCCAAACCGCCCACAAGACGGAGGGCTGGCTCAGCGGCCGTGTGCCTTCAACAGTCTGTTGTTCTGTGAATGTTTCTGAATCATTCCCACCAGTCAGATCAGTTTTTCAGCACGCGACTCGTTCCTCAGTTTTTAATCTGTTTCAACAGTTCATATCTCAAAACGTTCGTCTCATTCAGGACATTCCTGCTATGACTTTTGGTATTTGTGCAATTTGAACTTTTCAAAATATTTAGTTGTGTCGGCCATGTTTGTCTCATTGAAAATGAATGGAGCTCTGTTTGTGCTGTTTACAACCTTTGACTGCTCATTTCAGCTGTTTTTCTGATTCAGCTTTTTTAGCTTCTTTCTGCTAAATTTACCTTCAGTCTTTCTGCCTATTTTAGCTTATTCTGCTCATTTCTCATTTAGCCTTTTCTACACAGCTCAGCTGTTTTTTGCTGCTTTCAGCAAAACTCAACTGTTCAAACTGAACTCTCAGCAGTTTAGTGATGAAACCTTTTCAGCAGCTTCCTGCAGAACTCATTCAGCAGGAAGTGTTCACACTGCATTTAGACAGGAAATGACATCAGTCTGGTTCTGATTGTCACATCTTTAAAGCCTGGAACTGAAATGTGTTTCTCTGCTCAATCAGCCAGACAAACGTGAAGTTCATGAGATGTTTCCTTCACTTCCAAACATTTAACCAGAACACACTGTTTAATGTGAAGCTTGATGACTGAGACTGATCTGAGGTCTGTCTGTCCCTTCAGATGTGTTGGAGGACATCATCATTAATGACGGTGGCTCCACGATGGACCAGTGGGACCAGGTGGCTTCTCTGTGCTCCGGACTGGGCCAAGACATCCTGAGCCAGACCATTCAGTCCGTTCTATGGGACCAGAACAGAACTGGAACCCAGTCACCGGACCTGGAGGGAGCGTGTCTCATGGAGCACGTCTTCCTGTGAGAACTGGATCTGAAGGTAGAAGAATTTCTGCTGGTTTTGTTTCTGTCAGCTGACTCTGCCAGTCAGTTTCATGATTTTATTACGTTCCTCTCCGTCTCAGAGACTTTCAGAGGTCAAATGTTTGGAGTGCATGTTGTTGCAGTCTGCTGAAAAACTGGGACCAAAACAATAAAATTCCTTCTGTTCTCCTGCTAAGGAACATTGTACTTTTTGAAAGTCGTGTCTGTTATTTCTGCTCTACAACAATTTAATTCACTTGATTTCATCCTTTTTACTTTAATCAATACAATCTGAATCTGTCGATCATTATCTGCGACCACGAGATGTCTTTTTTGGGTGGTATACAGGAGCTTCTCAAAAAATTAGCATCTTGTGAAAAAGTCATTTTTCTGTCAATCATTTCAGAAAGTAAAACTCATATTACATAGATTCATTACAAACTAAGATATTTTGTCTTTATTTCTTGTCATTTTGTTGATTCTGCTTTACTGATAATGAAAAATCAAAGCTCTGTTTCAGAACATTATCATACCATGCCATTTTATTTATAGCATATTGTGAAGAAGTTCAGTATTATAAACTCCTGGTGTCACACCCTAATCAGCTGATTATCTCATCAACATGAGCTACAAATGTCTCATTCCTCAAGTCCAGCCACTCCTGAACCAGAGATAACGTCAGAAGTGTCTTACCTGCTGAGGATAAAAAGAAACTGGGCTGTTGCTCAGTGGTCCAATGTCCTCTCTTCACATGAAAGTGAAATTTCATGTCATTTGGAAATTGTCACAAATATGGAATACTCAGAGCGAAAGGACTGAATATGAACAACTCAACAACTGGAAGATAAGTTCAGTGCTTTTATTTACAAAGTACAATGAATAATATCAAAGATAATGCCAGGAACCCTGGGGAGCAAGGAGAAGGGTCAGCTCTGGAGTTCTGCAGGAATGGAATAATCAGATTGTCTTCTGGTTCTTACTGGTCAGTGATTGGTTGTTGGAGAACGACTGGTTCCAATAATCCTGTGTGAACAATGGTTGGAAGGTGAGGAAGACAGCTAAGGAGGCCACGAGGAGGTTTCCAGAGTTTCACAAAGGAGTCCAGGAACAGGTAAGTCTCAGGAGGTTCGCTGGAAACAGCAAAAGACTCAGGTAAGTAATCTTATGTCCAATTTCCATTAGTACCTTTAGTACCCGTACAGCACGGTTCAACTCGACTAGGTTCAATACACGTTAGCCCCTTTTCCATCACTATTACTCAGACCCAACTCTGCTCAACCCTGCTCAGATCAGCCTGGATTTCCACCGCACTTCAGAACGGGTTCTGGAGGCGTGTCCAGAATCCAAAATCTTGCTAATAAACTTTTAATGAACTTTAGTTCACCATTGTGAGATCTCTGCAGATAAATAATGTTAAATTATTATTTTTATATATGAATGTTTCTTATTTTATACATGAATATTTCTGTTCAGTGCCCTGAGACGACTTCTGTTGTGACTTGGCATTATATAAATAAACTGAACTGAATTAAATCTGATGAACCAGATTCTACAAAAACATTTTATATTTAAAATTCTATATTTTTCTTCATCATTTGATGTATTTCACTCTTTGTGTCTACTTTTATTGTTCAATTTAGATATGTGGTTTTGTTTCTTGTATACAGATTTTATTTTAGCTTTGATTTAAAGTTTAATTCTTGTTTTGTGATTTGTACAGTGGGTTGGAATAAAGTTTAACTAAATGCTGTGTCTCTTCTTTAAACATGTTTGAGGGAAATATTCCTGAGAGATCCAATAATTTTGTGTCTTTTTATGATTTTTCAGCTGAGTTAACTTTAACAGATTATTTAATGGTCATTAAAGTGAAAACAGGATTTCATGATAAAGCCGGCACCGTTTATTTTATTATTTTTTCATCTTCACTGATATACATTATTACTAAGAAAATCATTTAACACACACACATACAACTGACTACCAGCTTATACAGATAATATACAAAACAATAACATCAAACAAAAGTTTCAGAACACTTTATCCCTCAGCTTCGCCCTGTAGTCTGGCCCAATAAGATGGGTAATTGGGGAATTAATAATAATAATAATAATACATTTTATTTGTATAGCACCTTTCTAAATACTCATAGATGCTTTACACAAGTTAAAAAATATATGAAATCAACAATGCATAACACAAAAACGCAATAAAAACATTAAAAGGGCAAATTTAGACATTAAAAGAAATTTTAACAGGTGGGTTTGAGTTCTTTGTTAAAAGTGGAGAGATCGTAGCAGGCACGAAGCTGTTGGGGCAGAGAGTTCCAGAGGGTGGAGGCAGCGATGGAGAAGGCTCTGTTTCCCCAGGTTCGGAGCTTGGTCCTACAGGGGCGCGATAGAAGGTTGGCATCGGAGGAGCGGTGGGAACAAGAAGGAGAGTAGTGATGGAGTAGGTAGGCCAGGTATGGAGGGGCCAGGGACCTTTGAATGTGATGAGGAGGATCTTGAAATGGATGCACTGAATGACAGGGAGCCAATGGAGGTTTTGCAGGACAGGAGTGATAAGTTCACTGGAACAGGTGTGGGTAAGAAGGTAGGAGAAGAGTTCTGAATATATTGCAGTTTGTTGAGAGTTTTGGATGGCGTACCGTACAAAATACTATTGCAATAGTCTGTTCTGGATGTGACAAAGGCATGGATTAGGATTTCAGCAGTGGAGAAAGTGAGTGATGGGCTGAATCGTGCTATGTTTTTGAGATGGAAGAATGCAGTCCAAGTTATCTGTTTGACGTGTGATTTGAATGAAAGAGTGGAGTCGAGAAGAATACCAAGATTACGAATGAGTGGTGATGGAGTGAGAGTGATGTTGTCAAAGTTGAGGCAGAAGTTTTGAGTGGACTTGGTAACACTGTTTGGACCAATGACGAGTATGTCGGTTTTGTCAGTATTTAATTTGGGAAAACTGTGCTTCATCAAGATTTTGATGTCAGTTAAGTAGTGGGTGAGGGTGGAGTGGAAATTATGGTTTAAGGATGTAGTAGAAATGTAAATCTGTATGCCATCAGCGTAGCAGTGGAAATGGAGGCCATGACAACGGATGATATTACCAAGGAGGAGGATGTAGAGAACGAAAAGTAGAGGACCAAGCACTGAAACTTGGGGAACACCCTGGTATAGAGGAGTTATTGAAGAAGAGTAGCAGTTGATATTTATAAATTGTTTCCAGTCTGTGAGGTAGGACTGAAACCAGGACAGGGTGGAGCCAGTGATGTTCAGGTTGGACTTGAGATGGAACAGGAGGATGGAATGACTGACAGTGTCAAAAGCTGCAGTGAGGCCCAGGAGAATGAGGATACTGAGCTGGCCAGAATCAGAGGAAAGGAAGAGATTGTTGGTAACTTTGAGAAGAGCTCCAACAATTTTCAGTCAGGTCATCTGGACAGTTTCTTTTTTTTTTTGTGCTGAAACGTTTCACCTTCCATCCAGAAGGCTTCATTAGTCAAGGAAACACAAAACTGATTCCTCCCCCAACAGCTTACTCCAAAGCTTTGGAGTAAGCTGTGGAAGGTGAAACGTTTCAGCACAAAAAAAAAAAGAAACTGTCCAGATGACCTGACTGAAAATTGTTGGATTGTATTCCTGGATTATTGAGCATGGACTTTGTTGGTCTGAGAAGAGCCGTTTCTGTGCTGTGTTTTGGACGGAAACCGGACTGGAATGGTTCAAACAAGCTACTGGATTTGCGGTGGGTCTGAAGTTGACCAGCTATCACTCACTCTAAAATTTTAGACAGAAAGGGAAGATTGGATATAGGCTGAAAATTTATGACGTTATCAGGGTCAATATCAGTTTTTTTTTTAGTATTGGGGTTATAGCTGCCAACTTGAGAGACTGTGGAACAGATCCAGAAGTAGGGGTTGATGATTCTTATGATCAGAAGAGACAATGGGGAGACAACTTTTGATGAGAGGAGAGGGAATGGGATCCAAGGAGCAGGTGGTAGTTTTGATACCAGTCAAATGTTTAGTTGGTTGAGCAGAGGACATTGGATTGAAGTGTGAGAGCTGCTGACTGGAGCTGGGGGGAGGTGAATTTGGAGGAGCTGTGTGAGCAGAGAAGAGATGAAGGGAACTATAAATGTTATCAATTTTGGGCTGAAAGAAAGACTGAAAACTTTTGCATTTGATGATGTTAAAGGATGAGGAAATTTTGTTATTGGGCTTTAAAAGCATGCTGATAGTTGAGAAAAGAGATCTGGGGTTGTTGGAGCCAGAGTGGATGAGACTAGAGTAGTAATTTGACCGGGCAGAGTTTAGTGCATCTTTATATTTCTGTATATAATCTGTGTACATTTGGAGATGGACAGTTAGACCAGATTTCTTATACAGTTAAGTTGACGCTTTCGGGATTTCATTTTATGGAGCTCAGAGGTGTACCATGGAGCAGTGTGAGTGAAGGAGACAGTTTTGGTTTTAATAGGGGCTAGCTCATCAAGGCAAAAGGAGAGACTGCTGTTATAATAGGTGGCTAGTTTTGAGGGGTTGTCAGTCAGTGGGGGAGGGAAGATTGCCAGTTTGGAGGTGACAAGAGCGAAAAGGGCAGAAAGGTTGATGGATTTGAGATTGTGGAAAACTATTTCACATTTTGTTTTGGGTACAGTAGGGAGGATGTTTATGTCAAATGTGATGGCAAGGTGGTCCGATATATGTAAGTTATGGCCAGAGAGGTTATGGATTGTGAGACCAGTGGAGCAGACCAAATCCAGAATATGACCTTGAGTGTGCATAGGGAAGTTGACTTGCTGAGTGATGTTGAAACAGTTGGGAAGATCCAGGAATCAGTTGCTGTTTTGTAGTTGTTATTGTCAACATGCAAATTAAAGTCACCAAGCAATTCCCTCCAGGTGAAGTGTGGCCAGGCTGCCATCATGTGTGCACTTCATGAAGCTAGCCCTCAGGAAGTTGTCCTCAAAGAAAAAGTAGTTAGTCTTTAAAATAAAAGCACAACAAAGCAAATTTCCTGTTGGTGTCTGTATGTGTACTTCACCTTAGTGAGAGAAATGCTTTACAGCATCCTCACATACTCACTGACTGTGAAACAAATTGCCCCTTGAGGATAATAAAGATTCTTGAACTTGAACTTGCACTTTCAAATCAGAAGCACTTATGTGTGTATAATACTGTTTTATTATATAACAATAATTGTTCTGATTATTCTTCTATGATGTGTGCTGACCTCTTGGCCAGGTCACCCTTGGAAACGAGATATTGATCTCAGTGGTTTTTTTTTTTTTGTTGTTTGTTTTTTTCTGGTTAGATAAAGATGTTGATGACCAGTACTGATTTAGTAAAGCTTTAATCTGACAGCTCACCAACATATTCATTAATTTGCTTGTTGGAATAATTAGTTTATGTAACTACCAATCTATGATATTTAAAGTTTGACGAAATTTTTTTTTAATATGTATTAAAGTTGTTATTATACAGCTTGAACTGACATCATTTAAGGTGGATTCACTAATAGCTGCTGCTAAATTTTTAACTTGAATTGGAAAAAAGATGAACCAGTTTGAATTGTGTAAGAGCAAGTAAATTCTTACTTTAATAGAAGTTTAAGTAACTTCTGACTTCCTAATAACTGATTTTATGTTTTTTAAATAGTAAAGACTTGAATATACATAAAATAAACCAGCTGCCTCTGTTTAACACTGAAATCTTCTCTGTGGTTGGACTGAAGCACCAAAAATCTCTACAAACATACAAAAAATGAAATGACCTCTGGACTCTGGTAGCATAACCCTGTTTGAACTAACATGTAAATGATTGAATGACTTAAAGTTCTGTTCTGGCTGGTTAGAATCCAGAACCTGGTCATTTTATCAGGCTTGTACTGGAAGTGGGCCTTTGTTGTGCTTGATATATGTTTATTTTTAGGTAAAATGGGGATGTTTCTCTGCGGTTTTAGACTGATGACACAGCATAAAGCAGCACAAGGCGTTAATAATATGCAGCTTCCCCGTGTAAACGGTATGGAGTAATGCACGTAGCACCTAGGAAGATGGCTCCCAAAATTCTCGCCTTGCGCCGTCAGTGTCCTATCCTGTGTTGATCACCTCAGTAGAAGTTTGTCACCCCCTAAATTTAACAGGTTACGCCCCCCAGACTTTTCGAGCTCTGATTGGTTAAAGTGGGCGTTACGCAGAGGTCACTCCACAGGTGATTGGTCAGCGAGGTGTCCCATAGTTATACCACCAGGCTCGGGTTCGACTGTTGCGTGGCTGCTGCGTGGCGTACTGAGGTCTGTCCGGGTTAAGAAAAGACCTGAAGGTCCGGTTCGGGTTCTGAGCTTTTCCTGGTAGAAGTTTTCAACAGGAAGTCAAAGTTCACCGGAACTTTACAGAAAAGGAAACTTTTTTGTACCGTTAGAGAAACTTTGCTTTGCGAGGATAAAAAAAGATGGCAGACAACGAGGAGCAACTCGTTTCTTCCACCACCCTGTTTCCCGAGGGACACCACTACGAACCGGAACCGGACCTTGAGCCCAGGCAGGACCTCTTTAATGTGGATGATATTGTGGACTTGGTCGGCGGAGCTCAGGACGCCTTGGAGCGACACATCCAGGAGTCCACACTAACTTCTACAGAACCAGAAGCTGAGCACGAGCCTACAGTCACAGACCGCACGAGCCCTGCTTCATTTCCAGAGGAGGAGCCTGAGGTCGTGGCCCCCAAAGCCGAGCCGGAGAGCACACACATCCTTCCAGAACCACAACCAGAACCTGCCCCTGAGAGCGACGCCCTCCCAGCTGCTGCAGCCCGGAAAGCAGCTCCATCCCCCGCAGAGGCAGCGCAGCAGCCTCCGGTGCGACAGGAACCAGCGGCTTCGGCGTCGTGTGAGTATCGGATCTGAGGCCGGTTCTGTTCGGGTTATGACCAGATATCAATCCGAACCTTTTAATGAACTGAAATCATGTTGAGGTCTACATCAGGTCTGTCGGGTACCGACTGATGGTTGATAAGCCGGTTGATGATGCTGCACGGACCGAACCTGCTGTTCGAAACAGTTCGGTTTACGGTACAATCTGACTCCCGGGGTGTTTTAAAAGAAAATGTGTCCGTGTGGTGGGGGACCTGTCCGCGGCCAGAGCCGCAGGTTAGCCCGGTGTCTGGAGACGCGGCCCACCTGTTCGGTTCGATCAACGACAGGAAACTGACCGGATGTACCGGTGTCATTAAACCGTTACTCGACCCGCTAAACGAGCCGATTCACAAACACAACACCGGGAAATGATTGTTTTTAAGAGGAAAATTCAACAGAAACGGGTTTGGTTCGTTCCTGGGGTCGTTTTATTTTCCCGCTGCTCCGCTAATGCTAACGGCTATTCAGGTTCCATTATCGGACACATGTATAACACGTTAATTCGCGGATAGAAACAGGAACTGTTTAAGAAACGCGTAGTTTCATTAAAAAGGTTTAATAATCAGAAGGTGCTGTTTGATTTTTTTTTTTTTTGTCAGACAGCTTTATAAAATGAGTTAGCCATCAAGGTCTGATAACCTGTTATATGTGTTATGGTTGAACATCAGTGGTTTGATCATTGAAGATGGATAAAATAACTTATTTAATTAGGTCATAATAAAATGTAACGCATGTGGTTAGAGGAAACAGGACTCTGTCCGATAATGGAAGCAGTAACGGTTAGCTCAGCACGGCGCACCCAGATTAGTCACAACAAAAGAATCCGCTGGGAGTCCACTCCCTGTTCGGTTCCCACACCGGTACCAGGCCCAGTCCGGCACCTTATGCGACCGGATCTAGTCTCCTGGATCCAGTCATCTGATCTGAACCCGAGCCCAGCTCCAGCGGCCCGGTTCTGTCCTGTCTGTGCTGCTGTTATTTTTAGGAGGTGAGTGCTGCTGCCGGTTCTGTGGCGCTGCGGTTTCCAGGTAAACAGGCCTCAGACCCTCCAGGAGGGGGGGCAGGGTGGGGCTGCTGGCAGGGAGGAGGATGATCCTCTATCTGAACAGAACCCAACAGAAGCAGCTGGTTCTGCTCGTGTCTGAGGGCTTAGTTAGGACAGAACCGACTGCATGATCCCTGAAGTTAAATTTACTGTCTGTCTCTGTGTTGATTATTTGACTCACTTTTAACATTTTAAACCGTTACTGGACTGCTTTTATGAACCTCTGAGGACTGAATCAGAACTCTGAGGGGATCAGGTTCTTACTGGGTTCCTCACAGACCAACCTGCTCTTAACTGGGGTTCAGTCCGCGTGTCATCAGGTCCTTATTGAGTGATGTTTGTTCTTGGTTTTATTTATTTAACCAACTTGTGAACCACTGCTCAGCTGTGTAGTGTTTAAATGTGCTCTAAAAATAAACTGGACATTGTTTCCGTTCAGTCCTGTGTTGGTCTCACTGATCAACCCCTCAGAGCTGTGGGACATCCTCAGACTCTGACTCATGGACACCAGACCATGAAGGGTCCCTGAGAAGGTCCAGGAGCCCACAGTGCCTCTGTAATTAATCTGAAAGAAAATTTAACAAAAATAATACAAATGTCTGAGCGACTGACTGGAGGACACATTTGGACACGCTGTGCGTCTCCTGCAGTCCAGCACAGGGACACAGCAGATCTGTTGTTAACGTTTTATAATAATTCTTGGAAGAAGGCTTTTCAGTCCTCGGCATGTTTCTCCTCTGAGGTCGATCCAGGAGTTTAATGTAACAAAACAAACCTGAGTACAACAAGGACGTCGTCTGATCGGACTCAGAGTCCAGTTAAACGTTATTCTGAACTCTTTTCTTCTGGTTTTAGTTTAGTTTTTTATTTGAAGTTCATTCTGATCAAGTCTTGCCTCCATGAACTTCATCAGATTATGATGAACAACTGAAATCTAAACACTTCATTTATATGACTTTTATTTTCTCAGACATTTGAGCTGAAGTACGAGCAGGTTCTGTGATCTCTGCAGAAAACAGTGAAGGTTGGCAGAACCTCCTGCTGGCGCCTTGTGGTCTTTGTTCTGGAAGAAGCAGGTGTTAGATGGAAACCTCATTATTTTTATTTCAGTCTGTTTGAGCAATATCTCTACAGTTTGTTTCTGGAATCACAAGATTAAATCGAGCAAATATTGCTTAGTACAACTAATGTTGAATGTTTTCATCGAATCATTGATAAATGTACCTCCAGGTGCGAGGGTCTCCTGTGAGCAGAACAGCAGAAGTAGATTTTAGAGGTGAACTCGGTCTGAACACCTGCAGAACTCCACTCCCGTCAAAGGACGCGAACTTGGCCTGGTTCTGTCTCGTGGTCCGGACGTCTGTGTCACTAGAAGGCAAAGACTTCTGGGGGTGGTTGTTGATGTGTTTTTTTTTCAGTTTTAAAGGGAATTGTTTTTAATTTAACTAGGGCTGCAACTAACGATTATTTCAATAATCGATTCATCGGCCGATTTATTTTTTCGATTAATCGATGAATCGGCAAAAAAAAACAAAACGTTTTTATTTCCACCCCTTTATTCCAAAATTGAACATTTGACTGACATAGCAATTCACACAAAAAACAGGTTGCTATTTTACTATTCCTTTAGTAAAATATTGATTAATAAAAAATAAGTTAGTCAAATAGCTTAAAAAAATAAATGTACACAAAAATATATACAAATGTGTTTTTATACCGGGCAGCACGGTGGCGCAACTGGTAGAGCTGCTGCCTCAGCGAGCAGGTCCTTGGTTCAAACCCCGGTCCAGGGGCCTTTCTGGGTGGAGTTTGCATGTTCTCTCCGTGCATGCGTGGGTTTTCTCCGGGTGCTCCGGTTTCCTCCCACAGACCAAAAACATGCATGTTAGGCTGATTGGTAACTCTAAATTGTCCCTAGGTGAGAGTGAGAGAGTGAATGGTTGTTTGTCTCGTTTGTCTCTATGTGTCCCTGTGATGGACTTGCGACCCGTCCAGGGTGTACCCCGCCCCTCGCACAGTGATTGCTGGACATGGGCACCAGCGACCCCCGTGACCCAAAATGGAATAAACGGGTAAAGATAATGGATGGATGGATGTCTTTATACCTGCACAATATTTAGCTACTTTGTAAAATGTGTCATTGAGGGAAGAGTGCAACCTGGATTAAAAGTGTAGATTATTGTAACCTTGATTAAAAGTGTGGATTATTGTAACCTGGATTAAAAGTGTGGATTATTGTAACCTGGATTAAAAGTGTGGATCATTGTAGTGAAGCTTTCGTCTTCAACCATGGACAGAGGCCTCATGTCAGTGATGATCATTTAAGGATGTTATCAGTGAAAACAGCTGCTGCTGTGGTGTCCATGATGTCAGTCCATCATGAAGGCTGTTGTTGTTTTCTGGAATGAGAGAGTAAATATGTATTAAATTATAATTTACAGCAACTCAAGAAATGCCTTGTTTCACTTACAGTGTTAGGTTCAGGCAAAAGTAGCTAAAAGAGCAATTAAACACACACACATATATAAAATACTTAATTACACACATTTGAGTAGATGTAATAAATTACTTTAATTCCTGTTTAAATGCAATTCATCCTGCCATACCTGCAGTGTCTTCAGACTTTGCCAACAAATTAAAAGTTGAAGCTTAATCATTAAATTATTATCTTTGTGTTAGATTTATTTATAAATCGCATTTAAACACTGCTTGTTCCAATTAAATTAAATAAAAAGTAACACACACGTTCTCTATCACCGCCATTAATCAGAAAACAAACAAACATCAGCTTCATCTACCAGACAGACTGACGTTACGTTTTCTCTCTTGAAACAGAACAATGTGTTAAGTTGTAGAGACTCACCTGCAACACGAGTTGGGACTGAGACATGTTGTATCAGCTGCAGCTCCTTCCTCCTCCTCGTGACTCCGACATGTTTACGTTTCATCTCCGTGGTTCTCTCGTGTCGTGTCGGTGATTTTCAAAGCGGCATGCTTCTCATGTTTTATCTTTGTGAAGTTCTCCCACACATTAAAGGACTTGGGTCAAACAGTTTTCGCTGCGTCGGTCATTTGTAAAATTTACTTAAATTTCCTTTGAAAACACAGCCACTGCTCTTCTCCCCCCTCGCTCTGTTCAACTCGCGCTGCAGTTTTTTTTTCTCAAACTTTATTCAGTCAGTCAGCATTGACAATGAACTGCCCGTGAACAAAACGGCTCCGCAGCGCCGTGAAAGATGCATAATCGCGCGACACAACGAATCGATAACGGAATTCGTTGCCAACGCTTTTAATCATCGATTTTTATCGATTCGTTGTTGCAGCCCTAAATTTAACACCTTCTAATCCTCTAGATATCGTCCTCTGGTCTTTTAAAGGAAACTCTTCGCATCTTGTATTTTACACTTGTTGAACAGCTCTTGGTCATCCAGCTGTGTTCCAGCTGCTCTCAAACACTCTGATCTTCAAAAATAATAAAAAAATTGATCTTGATTTTCTTTAGAACTGCAGGCTAATATCTAATCTACCCTTCATGTCCAGAATTTGAGAAAAGGCTCTTTTTGATCAACGTTAGACCTTTTTAGATCCTCATGGCGTTTGTGAAGAGTTCTGGTTTTAAATCCCATTGTAGCACTGAGACAACACTTTGAAGAGTTTTTAATCATCTCCTTTGAACTGCTGACTCAGGTTGTTTCAGTTCTTTTAGATTGAACGTCTGCCTTTCATTCAGGCAGTCACAGCATTCTGTTTTCAAGACAACATGTTTGTCTTTAAGGCTCAGTTCTATCGTGGTTCCACTCTTTGTTAACCGACAGATCTTTTTCTGTTTCCCTGGGTTAATACTCGTCTTCTTCAGTACCTATTTGTTGTGGTGTACCTCAGAGATTCTTATTGGGCCCTATTCTGTTTAGTTTATATATGATGCCTTT